TCCATCACCGGCGCCACCTCCACCTCCATTATCTCCATTGCCACCTCCACCCCCACCACCACCCCCACTTCCTCCATCACAACCCCCACTACCTCCATCTCAGCCACATCCATTCCCTCCACTGCCCGCTGGACCACCTCCTCTCATGTTCCCTCAACCTTCTTTCCCACTCCAACATGAAGTAGGGACACAACACTTGCACACTCTCACTCCATCAGTACCATCGCCATCACCTGTAGTGGCATATACGCAACCTCCTCTTCCAAACGAAGTTAGTAACATACCCAGTGTAAGGCTTCTTGCTGTGAGCTATTTATGTTCTCTCATTATATGACACTAAGACTAATATTCTTTTACAGGGTCATCGGCTACCACAGGTAGCTGGAAACATGCCTCATGGTCCTCGTATCAATGCTTCTAATAGGAATGAGGTATTCCCATTGCAACCACCTTCTTTTACACCAGCAGGAGTTAGTAATTTGAGGGAATCTTCTGGATATAGTTCACGGCCTTTGGAATATGGTTATAACGATGCATATATAAACCCACCAGTTTCTCAGTCCACGCAGAAATTTCAACCTGGTAATGTGCCTTTTACCCCAAGGCCCATGCATCTTAACCCTCCACATCAAATCCCCTCCAATAGTTTTTCGTATCCAAGAGCCCCAGTGCAGCAACATCCACAACAAGCATATCCTACACCGTGCTCATTACCAGAGCGCTCTGATGGATCGAGGCGTTATATTGGTGATGAACAGTGGAGGGTTCAACCCAATGAGTTCAATGGTGACCACCAGCGCAGTATGTGGATTGGTGCAGGAAGATCATGCCCTGGTCCAACAATTGCTCAAGAAGGTTTGACTCTTTCGCTATGCTTTTGTTGATTTACATGAGAAGCAAAGTGGCAGGAGTTTGGATATAATGAATTTCTAAAAAAATAAAATGAATTTCTGCTAGCTCTTAGTAAATCTCCAATAACTCATGAATTTTGACAGACCATATTATTCAAATTTTCAAGCCTGCATATGATGCTTATACTGGCCCTCTTTTATCTGCATTGTCAAGTGGTAACGTGCATGAAACTGGCACAAGCTCTAAATATCAACTGTTGAACTTGATCCGTGGAAACAGAAATCATTCACTTGGCTTACCAAAATCTAGCTGTTACTCGTCACTGGTCAGGGCATAGGTTCTGCTTAGATTCATTTGTTTTTGTCAGTGGGACATGTAATACTTGAATAAATTATTGGTGCTTGCTGATTGTTGAAGAGTTCTACTATGCACCTGTGACATTTGATTGTGCGCTCTTTGTAGAGAGTCATGTTTTTGTACGGCATATATCTAGGTTTGTATACATCTTGCATGCGGGAATTCTCCTATATGCTCAGTAAAAATTAGTTCTTAATCAGAAAAAAGAAAAGTGATAATGTATAAGGCATTCCACCGCTACTAAGGTTGGTGATGCAGCTCTTGCGCTTGTTGTGATCAGTAACAACCATAAATGTATTTGGAGAAACAGTACCATACTAAACTTTAATCTTCGATACTTCTCAATTCCTTTTGTGGCATGACATTTGAGGGTATCTCTTTAAATGATTCATATGAAGGTGTGACACTCACTTATAGTTTTAGTAGGCACTCCCTCTTTCCTTCTTTTCTCATTCCAATTTTACTCCGTCTCTTATGTTCGGTTATAACGTGATGGCTTCAAGTTGTGGCCGGAAAATATTTTGTTCTTTTTTCACATATGAGGGCCTACAATACATACCTAAGTTCTTTACTAGGTAAACTGTTGAAGTTGTAACATCTGTTAACAAAAAAGAAAATGTGGAGCAATCTTGGATTTTGAATCGTCAATCATTGTTTAGCCGTTCTTCAATAGACCACTTTGACGAGTGACTTTCATGGCAGGTTATTTCAGACCGCCTGATAGACCACCTGTGAGTAATGTTGGATTCCAGCCTTCTGGGTCAAATGCTTTCCCTACTGGTCCTCCAATTTCAGGTGAAATATTGGTGAAGAATTTATATTTGAATTTGCTTCTTGATTCTTAGTCTCAGCTTTGTGGGAGAAAGAACTGACTGACTAATGTGGTAGGTCATGGAATGCCTTGCCGACCGGACGTAACTGTCCTCAACTGGAGGCCAGCATGAGGGCCATTGACAGTTGGTTTTGATCATTGGTGAGTTACTGGTTAACCAGGATTTGTAGTTTGGAAAAGGACTTGGTTGACATATCTGCACATCTGAGCTTTGTGCATGTAGAGTTCTTGGACTCCTAAGAATGGTGTCATTTACTGCACTTCTGTCTTAAATTCTTCTTTCTTGGTGAAGTATATGACCTTTATGTTTGTTCTTTTCAGTATCTAATGGTGGCTCAAGTAGGATACAGGACTGACATCTGGAAAAAAGACAGTAATTAGAGCAATTGCTGTAAAGTTGGGTGACCCTTGGCAGGATTTTGTACTATTGTAATTTTCCTGACAAATGCATTTCACAGACACATACTTAACAAAGTGTAAGCCCTGTTGACCCTTGTAATTATTCTGACTATACTGAGTTATAGAGTTCGGTGCAGATGAGAAATATTTGTATTAGCTGGTCATCTTCCTTTAATTTTGTTATTAACAAGAAATCATCTTCTTTTTTTCAACTGGTTAATCTTGTTGAATTTGGTGATGTCTTTTAGTCTCCAGGTAATGCAAGTAAAATCCTATCATATATCAGCAATGAGTTACTGACTCTATCCGTGTACAATGAGAATCCTTCATAACTTGAAGAATATGTTTACCACTGAGTATTGATATAATAATTTGCTGCCATACTTCATATATAACTGGAAATTTGGGAGGATGCATAACTGATATAGGCTAACCAAATTTTCCCTGTTTCAGATTCTCAATTTTGAGAATTTCCATGTTGGCATTCTTAACCCTTGCTCACATTTTCATTTAATCTTTCTTGTAAACGTTAGCAAGTTAATCAGAGGTTTTTGTTTTACGGTTGAAGGCACATGATGCCCATCAACTGAAATTTTTTAATTGGACATACACATGAGCATTAGGGTCACGGCTCCTGCGGTGCACAGGGCCTGCCCTTCAGGTGTCTTGATACAAACAAAGATAAGTCAACATTTTTCGCCCCCCTTTCAAAGCACCCCCTCATCTCCTGGTTAGGAACATCTATGTAGATAGGATTGGATACATAGTGCAAATAAGCAAGCAAGTTTGAATCTTCATTCATCTTTTTTGGTTTTCCTTGGAATTTCCATCCTCTTGTTCTTGATGTTGGAGAATGTTTTTGATATCAGTTTTAGAGGGTAACAAGTGAGTGACCTCTCTTTTTTGTTTTGTGATATGAATATGTTATATAGTGATCTATATCAAGGGCTATTTTATGCCTACAAATCTATCACAACACACAAATAAAAGAAGCAACTATGCTTCAATCCCAAACAAGTTGGGTTCAACTATATGAATCCTCAGTTTTTCCCCATTTAAGCTCAACTCATGCCATCATCAGATCAAATGAAACTGAAAAATAAGTTAATATCTATGTAATAATAATACTAATTTATATTAGAAGTTCTCTATATTTTAATTGTCGTGCAAGGAAAAAAAAGGAAGGTAAAAGAAACAGCGTAGCTGAAATCTTAACAGGCACCGTTATTGAAATAAGGTCATACTACTTAATGCATTTCTTACCCCTCAGTCTCATCCTAGGCTGCCTACTTCTTAGTTTAGTCTTAACCCGAACAGTTGTTCCAATTGCATAAATAGCACTTCTTTTAGCTTGAAGTGAGTGCAAGTTAGAAATATCTATTAGTTCAACTTTAATGTGATATCTTTTGACCAACTTTTTGACTTTTCCCAATTTCAAATTATTGTATTAAACTTGTATCTTCAAAAAAATAAAACATGTATCTACATGACTCGGTATGATAATTCAGTCGAACATAAGGACAACTGATGACCCTTTTTTCCCCTTTGTTTATAGAGTTAATGTTCTGCCCCCTTAATTTGCATCAATCATTGATTCCTTGGATAAGTTAATATTGAATAGGATTCCTTAGAGCTAAAATATTTGATTGGATTTTGGAATCCGTTGAAGAAAATCTGCAGATGACATTATTTTTGCAGTGAGCTGTAAGACAATAAAAATGGTGTATTTTTGATGTAGTCAATGAGTAGAAGTTTTTCTCTTCACACGATGTTCCTTCCGTGGGCACAAAATGCTGTATGACATCTTTGAGGTCTTTAATTTCATCTTAGCCAACAACTGATATAAGACTGCTTTTCTATTTGTTTGGTAAAGAAATTTTATAATTTGTAATTTCATCTGAAGTTGATTTAGATAATTTAGCCTAATAAATAACACATACCAAAGTTTTGGGACAAAAAGTGGAACATGTGTAATTAGTTTTCGTCACATATCAGATTAGGTGGTGATAAGTTACTGTAATCTGATTCTCACCATTACCATAATCTGATTCTCACCATTACCATAATCTGATTCTCAGAAGCTGCTGCTACCACCATACTGAGTATTAAAATTGATTTAGAAAATATAGCCTTGTAAATAACTTACCAAAGTTTTGGGACAAAACTGGAACATGTGTAATTAGTTCTTGTAACATATCAGATTACGGTGGTGATAAGTCACTGTAATCTGGTAATTACCATCACTATAATCTGATTCTCAGAAGCTGCTGCTACCACCGTACTGAGCAACTAAATTGAACCTTCTGAATGGTTGGTGTATTATCTGAATAATTCACTGTAATCTGATTCTCAGAAGCTGCTGTTACGGCCATTGTAAGTATTAAAATAAACTGTTCAGAGTTTGGTTCTTACAAACATAATCTTTGAAGAATCTGAACCTATCTGTTTGTCGGTGCTTCAACATTTTATTTCTTATATTTATTGGGACCTGCTCCTCCATTTGGCTCACTCTCTTGAACATGTTTTCTTTGACATTCAAATATACTTAATATTAGTTGGACTTGTTCTTAAACCTGCTGGATGTGACAGAAATTGTGGAGTTCTAACTGTTCTTAATTTTAATGCATAGTTGATAGACTGCCAAAAATGAAAGGCTTCACTTCTACCTATTGTGAAGTACAAATGTGGTAGCACTGTTAAAATTTAGAGCACTGTGCGAACGAATGAGAATAAATCATTAATCTTGTGAACTTTGAAGCTAAGAAAAGTCATTTCTAGTCCAATTAAATTACTGTTATTTATAGGTGCAGTCTGGTTAAGTTACTGTTATTCACATAGAAAATGATGCAATAAATTTTTCTTGTTGAAAAACTTTTCCTTACTGTTATTTATGAGTGCAGTCTGGTTAAGTTACTGTTATTCACATAGAAAATGATGCAATAAATTTTTCTTGTTGAAAAACTTTTCCTACTTCCATAGATTCATGCACAAGTAGATGGCAGTTTTTGTTTGGTTTAGCATTACTTTGTTGCTAGTGCCCACCTATGCTGACAATTGCATAATCCTTCCATGAGAAGCATTTCTGTATTTGGAAATCCTGCAAATTTTGATGGTTAACAGACATTATATGCCTTCATAGCTCGGGATGATTATCATATATTGTTCCACTCATGGTTGGTTACCTGGGAGATTTCTTCAATCACATATTGTGGAAAGTACAAAAGCAAGGAAGGTTTACCAGAATAGTGTAATATGGCATCCTAGATTATTGTAGTTTGACATCTCATGGTTATTATGGAAAACCCGCAAATATGATTAGGAGTATTTATTAGTGGCCGGTTTTACAACAGTGTCTTAGTTGATTGCCAAATTATGCACAACATCAAACCTCTGGAATACACCCCCCTCCCCCAAAATAAAACACCAACCCAAAAACAAAGATGATAAATATGAACTCTCTGACAGGTGACTTTCACTCCATGTAATTATCTTTTGTAGGGCTGGTTCAGTGCATGTTTGCCATATATAAAAACAATCTGCTTACTTGTCAAAAAGAAACTCTGAAGTCTATGAATAAACTTATCAAAGAGAGGACAAGTCCAGAAAGGAAGGTCTGGGTAAGAGCAGAGAGGATTCAGGACAATAGGGGTAATAGAGTCAGGTGAAACTGTTTACTTGGTCTTTATCAGGAAAGAAGAATATACCTGACTGATATTTTCAAATCTCACTTGGATGTCACTAACTTTGTTTTACGAGGAGAATTATTATCATACCAACTGCACCTCAAATCCAAACTCTAGAGACTCCCCGTGGAATAATATCTGGATTCCCAAAATAACTTAGATGTGGGTATTGTTTATTACCAGCTTACCACCATCTAAATGCTGCATTAGTTGTGCAGGGATATTTCTTATATGCCAACCAAATTTTGCATTAGTTATGTAGAGGTTCTTCTTAATCCAACCAACCAAATATTGTCTTATTCTCTGCCAAGATTAATTTCCCTAAGGCCTGAACCTTTCATCCAAACAACCTCTTAAGTGAATTAACAACATTTTGGTTTGAGAATTCTGAAAGAGATGTGCTTTTTAACATTTTTTTATATCAAATGTGTAAATGAAGGAAGATGTGCGAGAAGCTAGATGAAATGTACCATTTAACATTCAGTTGGCGAAAGAGCTTGTTAAGCTGTTTCTCTAATATATGCACGTGCTCTGTGGAAAAGTTAAATTAGTGCTACTAAGGAAGCATGCCAGCAATGCTCGTGTAGGCAGATGCAGCATAGCTAGCACCTAGCGGAAGCACATAAAGATTCTAATATGTTGCTTCAGCGTGCATATTTTGTAGTGTATGTTTATTTTCATAAGATTTGGCATAGAAGTATGTACCATTGTTTGTAGAGGGGTGTAGTGCATGAACCAATATTGTTTAAGCAACAAACTGCAGGATCTTGGCTATAAAGACCTAATTAGGTGTTTTAGTAGGCATCATAAGTGTTTTTTTTGTATCTATAGGTGCCTCAAGCTTTTGTGCCACTCTTGTCTAAAAGTTATGCGTACATGGGTTTATTAGGGCATGGGACACAGTTTGCGTTGGTAGGAAATGATAAACTTCTTGACTTGTTGTAGAAGAAAATCAGGTGCAGAGATGTTTTTTTCTTTTTGAACATTAAGTGCAGAGATGGTATGTTGGCATAATTACTCAACTTAAAAAATAATCTGTCTTAGAATGTATGGAATAATGGCCTCCAAGGCCTAGCTCGAGTGGCAAAAGGTGGAGGATTTGTGGCTTAGGTTGCAGGTTCAAGCCCCACACCATGCCAAGTGAAGCCCAGTATTCAGGTGGAGAAGGGTAGAGGGGCTGACCCATTATCCACCGAATTTAGAAGGCTGTGATTGGTCCAAAGGATGGGTCACAAACGGATTTCTCGGTTATTAAAAAAAAGAATGTATGGAATAATGGGTTGGTCTAGTCATCACAGACTGAATTTTGTCTGTTAGAATTTCTTCTTGCTGTATTTTTTTCAGCAGCCTAATACTTTCTGTAGAGAAGATTCTTGAAATATTTTTCATGCGGAGTTTGAATTTGCTCTGACATGAACTTCATACTTGTATGATTCATTATGTGAGATAGGCCCAATCATCCACCTACTTTTATTTTTGCACGTTGGAAATTCGTTAGTATTGCATGGTAAAGAATATATATTAGAACTAATGTCATGATATAGGGTGTTTCGAATTATCTATGTGAGATTTTTGCTTGTGATTTGTAACATAAAAAAGTCTTATCTCAGTGTGTATGTCCATGTCGTGTTGTATATTGGATAATGTCTGATGTGTTACAAAATGATTATTACAGTGTTTAGAGGGTTTTCATGCTTTCAGCTTGAGAACCCAAGTTCTATATAATGTTAGATTGCAACTTATATTGAAATCATTCTATGCCTGCAGATAGTATGTATGATCACACTGTAGCTTGAGATTCGTGGTAGTTAGCTTTGAGCCCTGTCTAGTAATTATTTTTTGAACTGCTATTCAATATTGGCTCATGGATGGGAGGTGTTGTGTTTACAAGTAGATTGCTTATTTTGGAAATTGCTCCTATCTTCTCCATCTCCCTATTCTCCTTTCTTCTCCTTTGTTGTGAAAATTATTGATGGGTTTGAGTTTCAGTTTACTGATCTTTCTTGGCTACAGAATCTCCTCATAAACCTTGTTTATCACCCAAATTTCAAGGCATTGCGTTATATAAGCCTTTTATATTGGAATATGTTTATTTATAATTTCTTGGAGCGGAAGTGTTCAACATAAGTCATGGGTTCTACTTTCGTAGAATTGTGTTTCAGCAAGCCTAGCGTGCTATATACCTACCGCGAACAAGAGCCAAATCGAAGACATTCCTTTCATTCTGTTATATCCCTCTTGTTAGTTGCTCCTCTTTCTGTGGATCTAATGGTCATAGAACATCTTGTTATGAGTTGCAACTGTTCAAGAATTCTTTCTTGTGGGCCCATGTCTCCCGGACGATGCGCTCATCTAATGTAAAATCAATGAGTAGACCTCCCCTCCCCTTCTCCTTCCCCATACCATAGCCGGAACTGTGTTACCGTGTCTAGCTTAAAGAACATTATATTTTTGCAAGTAAACTAATATAATGGTCATAGACCATCTTGTTATGAGTTGTGACTGTTCAAGAATTCTTTCTTATGTGTAGTGTGTGGGCCCATGTCTCCCGGACGATGTGCTTATCTAATATAAAATCAATGAGTAGACCTCACCTTCCCTTCTCGTTCCCCATACCGTAGCCGGAACTGTGTTACCGTGCTCAGCTTAAAGAACATTATATTTTTGCAAGTAAACTTGTCCTTTTACCTGCTATAGTTTAACCGATAAAGTTGACTGGCTCCCAGGGCTGTACTTTGCTAGTTGCTTTGGAAGTTCTCAAAGAGGCAACTGCAACTTAATAATAGACTAATTGCAGCACAACTTTAATGAAAGGAATGCTATTAGAGTAGCTAGTTATTGCGCTTTATTTGTTCTTTGTACAAGTGACTTGAGCATGCTCCCTTGGGGAGTTCTAGACGCTTATGCTTCAATTGTTTTCCTGACTTTTCTGATTCTTGTTCCTAATTTTCGCTTTTCCTCCCTCTGGGCATTTTGCAACAACAGGAATATATGTCTTATTGTGTTTACAAGATAGAGGCCATCTGATTTGAGAGTGATTTTGTTAGCAAATGTCAATTGTTTCAGGTATTACGGAAGATAGCTAGTCAGCATGCAACATTGTAGCCCTTTATTGGTCAGCAGTACAATAATATCTAATTGATCCTGGCAGATTGTTCTGCTGCAAAATTCTGAGGTAATTGTGTAGTCAGATCCCTGAACTGTAGCAGTACACCTCTGCTTCCTTTTTTGTCCGTTCACCACAAAATGGTGGTCCTTTTTTGTGAAAGAACATTTGCAGTTCATATGTTTTTTTTTTCTTTAAAAGCAAAGAGTTATGTAAAATTTTCATGTATATCTGTCGTTGGATGGAGTTACAATTTTGGGAAAAAAGGTAATTGTGTAAATAATTTGAAATATTATGAGTAAGTAGGATATCTACAATATTCATCCATTCCATCCACAAATCTTGGCACTATGCTGTTGATTGACCAATTGACATCGTGCAATCTGCTTTAATAAAGTTTTTTTTTTCATGGGGATTTTTCAGCAGTGATTTTGTGTAGTGGATGTCTATCTTACACACATCTGAGCTTTTCATTAACTGTCACTGTTTATGGACGTTGACTGGTGTACATGTCGAAACCGTGATGTTGTATCTGAATGTTTGCATCAAAGTTTTCTTGATATTATAATCATCTGTTTTAGGATGTTATTCATTAAGACGGTGGTAACTTTTGGGTTATTTGTTGAATTTGGAGTGCTCCGACTCATTCTCAGTGCTGTTGAGGTGCCTAAACATTTAATCATAAGCTGACAGTCTGATGATCTGTGCTTATCTTGAAAGAACATGAAACATGGATTTTACTATTAAAGATCATGAATTCTGATGAAGATGAAGGACCCCAAGAGAGTTGAGAAAGGGAGAAGTTAAGGTTGGTGTGGATGGTGGGAAAGCAAATTGGAGAGTATTTCATCTGTCTTGACCTACTTAAAAAACGAAAAGATTTGTTGGGCTAGAAAATTTACTGTTTCGTGGTGGTTGTTGAAGATTAGCTTCTTGAAAGCTTTACCAGAGGTTTCCTGGAAATTAATCTTTCGGTGCTGAGCAAGGGCAGAAAAAAGAAAAATGAAATTGTAGGAAATTGTTTTGCTGCATGTGTTTTCAATTTTGTGATAACATGTGAAGTGGAAGAACATTGTAGCTGAGGTGAACAATATTCAATGCTTGGACCCAGATTAACAGAAAACAGTGTGCTCTGGAGTAAACATCAAATGTCGGTGCTTCTATAAGTGGTATGGACGTTTTCTACTTATGTTCAAGTTGAAGCAAATAAATTATGGGTATTTTATCTAACAATGATTATGATTTGAATCTGTTGCCATGATATTTTTGTGAAGGCATTTTTAGTTTAAGTAAGTACTATTCATGTTTAGAGTTTTCCTATTCTGCATATTACTAAAAAAGAGACGGAAGGACAGGACCAATATGTATTTATACCTATCAACTCACAGACGCCTTTTCCAATAATTGTACTGTTACTCACAGGCATATCCGATTAATAGGATGACATTATAATAGTTGGGTGAAGTTGAAAAGTAAAGCATATTTCAAGGTGAAGTGTTCAAAGGAGTTTAATTTTATTTGTGTTTGGACTTGAATCTCAATTGAAAAATAAATAAATATCTGGAAATGAATTTCGATGGAAGAATGTAATCTTGAAATTCGTCCAATTTTAAAAATCGTAGATATGAGGTGCAATCTTTTAGAGGCGACAATCACCATAAAGGTCCTGTTTTGTATTTTAATTTATAAGTTAGATTCTCATTTTAGCATATTCGAGTTGTCTTGCTCCGAACCACCAACTTTTCTAGTTTTAATGCATAAGCATCTGCTATTGATTAACTTGGAAAGTGGGTACTCGGATAAATGGAAGCTAAGCTTTGAACTTTTAAATTCAAATTCATTGCAAACAGGGTGAAAAGAAAAAAAAAATGAGTTAAAAGAATTTGTGTTGTCAACATAAAAGCATAAGTTCTAATGGGATTCCCTTCTTTGTTTGTTTGATTCGAAGGGGAAGGGCCCGTTGAGTTCTTAAGAATCATAATATTTTTTTCGTTGTAAACAAGTGTTGATTGATGCTAAATACTATGTCGTCCATAGATGTCATGTTTTTTTTTTTCCACAGGTCAGTAAGAAAAGAAAGTGGAAAGCAACCCTAATTTCAAGAAACACACTCTTGAGTAGACTGTAGAGTGATGGGAGTCAGTTCATTTTGTGTTTTGTACTCTTCTTAGGGAAGGAGGTATTCGTTTTTCACTGGGTATGCCATTGTTGTAGTAGTTTCTTGTTCAGTTTATTAAATGTTGTAGTTTATTGTTCATTATATTAAATTATTTTATTAATGATATTTTGGATATTTGAATTTAACTGACTGTTCCAATTATTTTGTGAAATGATAACTTAGTAATAACGGGACAATCAGAACAAAAGTTCTCTTAATTTATTAAGAAGTGGATAATTAAAGTCTTCTCTTTTTTTTTTTTTTTAATTTTAAAAAAAGATAATTAACGCGTAAGAAGGGGATGGAAGGAGTATTACAAATCTGAAATGTTGGTGGTAATTGGAATAAGAAATTTGCGGAGTCGAATAATATTGCCGACGTAATGATAATGAGACGGACTAATGGAATTTTGTGAACCTTTTAGCTATATGTATGCATGCGTGGATAATATTAAAATATTATTTTTAAGTGTTTTGAAATGTGATATCTTATTTGAACATGCTAAATAGTATTAATCTTAGAAAAAAGTTCAATTATCATATTGCTTCTTAGTGAAATATGTACCCACACCTCTCTTAATTTCAATAACTAAATCTCTATGGATATGAATATAGATAACAAATTATGTATTTATCAAATAATGTTTCATATTTTGTATTATTTACATTGTTCACTATTCAAAATTATTAGATTGTTAATATTGATTTTTATTAGTTTATCACTTGGATGAATATAATTTATCAGGTGCTCTTCTTATCTTATTAATATAACACAAATCTATTTATTTTGTTTACTCTTTGAATATTTTAATTTTTTAGATTTTTATTCTATTGTTCACGCCTTTTCCATTTAAATCTTATGGATGGTAATATGTGTAATATTTAATTTTTTAATTATGTTTTCGCAAAAATTAGTTTGAGATATACTCCCCCCCCCCCCCCCCCGGCCTCCAATTTCATTTCAATTTACATAGAATGCTGAGTTTAAGTTTGAGTTGCTTAAATTTGTATACTTTAATAGTCATTTAATTTGTTATTTAAAGAGATTTCAGTTACATGGTATACAAAATTTAAAATTTTACTTGTTATAATTAAAAAATATTTTTTCATCTAAAAATTAGTCGTGCTTTACATTTTTTTAAAATTATAATTTATAACTTGTTTCATAGTTTTGTCTTGATTTATAACTAGGTAATTATCTGTGCGAATCAGGATTGAACTATTTTAGTAAGATCACATATGATTATTCGGTAATATCCGTATTTTTGATACATACACTACATTGTCAAGAATATTTTATCTTAAGGCAAAAAGTTCCTTTGAAATCTTAAAGTACTATATTTTTTTTAATTTTCGTTTTTGTTGCACAAAAATTATGCGTCAGAGAGCTTTTAAGTATAAGAAAATCTCCATGAAAATAGTTGGTCAGAAGTAACGAAATTTTCTAAATTCCAGGAACTTCTAAAGAACAACATCAGATGTTAAAAAGAGACCAAAAAACCTCGAACAACAACACTCCCAAGTAAAGTAGAACATCAAGTCCATACAAGAGAATAATTAACTAAATTCAAATGGAGAACCTTTGGCTCCTTTCTTATGAACCTCTATCAACCTCTTTTTTATTATAGTATGCTATATCATGCATCTGTCAAAAATGACCCTAAAATTGTTAATATCATAAAGGTTTTTCCTCATTGTCTCAAAATAGTCATTACTATTGCTTAGGTTTCATATCACCAACCCCAACTTATGAAATTGAACCATAGTTATTGTTATGGTTATAGTACGCAGTTACAAAGAATTTAATGCAATGATCAATCAAGCAGTAGGTGACATCTGAATGGAACTGTTTACAACTGGATATTCTAAATCAAAATTTTAATTCATAACATATTAAAATCTCACAACATAATTTTGTGAGCATTTACACTCACAAATATCCACAAATAATAATAAAGACGACCTTACTTTTCTAACAATCAAGAAGAAAAAGGCATGTTTAACTTATTTTTCAAAAAGATAGTGTGCCGGGCTGTATCAAAGTTTATAGTTCACAAATTTAATTGAAAGAAGCCAAAATAAAGAGTTATCATTACAACAAAAATGATCTTTAACGATAATTAATAGCTTAATTGTCGCTAAATATGTATTTTCAGGGCAATTAGTACTCTCTATAAATGTCTCTAAAGTTTATAGCAACATTGAATCTAATGACAATTAATTAATGTTGGTAAAGACTCTAGCACTCTTTGTTAATGTGCATATTTATTGCCGATAGTTTTTTTTGGTTATAGTGTATTTTGGGCATATGTTAGTTTCAAGAAAACTTAATCTTTTATTATGCCCAAAAAGAAGAGTGGAAGAAATATGACAAATAAGTCAACTTGCAATAAAAGAAGTGGACTAATTGTTTCTATATTAATATTCTAGGAAAAGTGAAACAACATACAAAATGTTTGTACCAAAGAAAAAACAATCAAACTAATATACTAACTGTGGCACAAGGGAGCAATATGTTTGGTTCTTTTAACAAACTTCACCATAGGTTCCATTTTAGTTGTCACATATTTGTTATTGTGTGCTATTAAATATAACACAATCCACAAGCAATTTTCCCAAAAAGTATATGAGGAAGCCTGTAGAAAGGGGCAAAAGAGAAGATCAATTTTCAATCATCCTTGTTGGGATTTTTAGCCGAGTTAAAAAAAAAGTCACCAAAATAGCAAAAAGAAATTGCAATAGTTACATGAATCACTATGACTTACAGTAAAATATCAAGCTTCCTGAAATAGGAGGAAAAAATCTTTGAGGAATGAAACAAAATTCATAAGAAGCTTAATTAATGTATTTGAATTCAATTCCTTTATTGCGAAAAAAACCCTACAAATAATAGTGGCAGAAATAGAAGTTTTGTTATGAATTCAACCATTCCAGTAGCTTTATGAGTTGTGGACTGATAGACAAAAGTAGTAATATTGCATTGTAATTGAAATCATTTTTTTTTTATTCTATTTTCTTTTGGTGCCTTAGAATTAAGTGTTGGGTTTAAAAAGAGTGAATGCAAAATCAAGAGTTATGACTTTGTTGAAAAGTTTTTGAAGAGTTCAGACTTTTCTAAAGAGTTGTGACTTTATGAAAAGTTGTGACTTTTTCATAAAGTTATGACTTTTAAGAAGGGTTAATTAAGAATCCTGATCTGTGAGGGCACCACATAGGCTGTTTTAAGATTCTTTTTAAAAAAAATAATATAATATTAGTGTATTATTCAATAATTAGTATGCTTACATTACTATGTAGGGGCGGACATAAATACCGGAAAATCAAAAAATTAAATTGAACCGAACTAATTCGGTTCTTGGGTTTTTCGATTCGGTGTCGGTATTATTTTTTCAAAAGTTTGATTCTTCGGTTTGATGTTCGGTATAAGGGTCTCAGAACTTCGGTGCACTGAAGAACCGAACTTTTATTAAAAAAGTAATATATATATATGGGCATTCTCTTCACTAAAAATAAAGAGTCAACTAACACTTAAATCATTCATGAACAAATCAAAATAGCAAGAAATGTACAATTCAATAGTTAACTTCAAATATTAATTCCCAAGAGGACCAAAACATATTTTTATCAATATACTTTATGTAAAAGAATCCGTTTTCGTCCTTGTTTTTCTCGGAAAGTAGTTGGATGCACAATGTTCTAGACAAAGATAAATATAGTATTTTAGTTAGCACAATAAGTGTTGCATGGTGAGACACAATATTCCTTAACATACTTTTAAATTTTTACGTATCTTATACTTTGATTTTGCCCTCATTTTATTTTTCATTCACACCGAAAAGCCGATTTAAAAATACCAAACTAAACCGAATCGAAGTAGGAAAAACCAAACCAAACCAAATTAATTTGGTTTGATATACGGTGCACAATTTTCTAAAATTGAAAACCGATGATTCGAATCAAAGTTTGATAAAATCGAACCGAAGAACCGAACGCCCTGACTTTTAATAGCTTGTCATTTTAGCTATTTATTTTTACATAACACAAGTATTTTTATTATTCCTAAAATTTATTTTTGAACTTTTATTTCATTAACCATAATTTTTTCATTGTTTATATTTATCTACCATATTTTATCC